TATTAGTAAAGAAATAAAAAAATTTTTATGAACATCTTTTTTGTATATAGGCAATAAGACTGAATAGTTTTTAGTTCATGCTAAGCTTCAACTCTTTGGTTACAGTTAAGAATACATTTCTTTATAAGTTATTGAAGAATATCATAATTGACAAGAATCTCTATTACTTTTTGAAACCCTTCTATTATTAAAAAATAAAAGGATTATTGGAAAATCTGATCTTTTGGATTATGAAAGATATTTATCAGTAAAATTTCTTTAACTAGGTATGATTCCTAGAAGATATTATAATGAAACAATATAACATAATTTTTACTGGATCATATAAGAACCTGGAGTCTATTATAAGTTGTTCATCTATTATAGTTGAATAAAAAATCATTATTTAAAGAAGATTGAAACTAAGTATGTCCTGAAAATAAAGGTTTCCACTAGGTAATAAGTCTTCTTAAATAGTATACAAGAAAGAAATCAAGATTAAAAATAAATAAGTTTCTCAAATAGTTGGGAGAAGAAAGGATATTTTAATAGGGTATTTTTTATTAAAAAGGAGTCTTGAGAAGTAGGTTTTTGAAGGAAATTGGAAAATTTTAATTTTTTTTTATTTTTATTTTCTTGTAATCTATTTGAATATTTTTAAATATTTCATTTTTCCTTTTATCAATTTATCCTTTTATAGTTTCCTGTATTCCAGTGGCTTGATAGAATATTTAGTAGTAATAAACTACCAGTAATAAAGTGATAGACTAGAAGGGTTTTTATTCAAAGTCTACTATGAAGTGAAATATTGTTTACAAGGTCAAATTTAGAAGCTATTATTGCCTATAATAAGTTAGTTAAATTTGAAATTGATGTTTAGTTGTAGTATATATTATGCTGCTCAAATAAAAATATACTTATGTTTTCAATTAATTAATAAACTATGATTTAGCCTAGTTACGGGTATGTAAAAAAAAAAATTAGGAAATAAAATTTTTAAAAAAATTTATAGTATATTTAAAAATAATCAAGTTTTTAAATAGTTTAAAGTTAGTAAATATTTTAATACAAATGTCTTTTGAAAAGAAATTATTAAATTAACTAAGAATTTTTTAAAAAAGCTTTAAATTATTTCTTTTTTATTATTTTTAATTTTTTTAATTCAATAATTTCTTATTTTTTAAGATAATCTATAGTAACACATTGTTAACAATAATTTTACTAGAAAAAGATTAAGTATTAATCTATTAGAAAAGTAAAATCTTGTTATTCAAATTTGATTTAAAATATTTAATTTGAACTTTGTTTTGTGAATATTTTATTTTTAAGTAGTATAATTCTATATACTGTATATTTATTTTAAATCAAGATATAATTGTAGGTTAAAAAATTTTATTTTTTTTGTTTCTAATACAATATAGTATACAGTATAGTATATCAGAAATTTTTTAAATTAATAAATTTAGAAAAAAAAACTTTTTTTTTAATCAATTTTTTTAAGCTAGCTACTGTTGGCATTAGTCATGACGCGAAACATGTGAGCACGTGTATATATTGACGTAATCAGCTTATCTAGTCGTCATAGTTCTAATAAGTCGAAATAGCCTAGTCAAAAGTATATACTACTGTAAGTAATTAGCTTAGCGAAGTATAAAAAGGATGTAAAAATGAATTTGGATCGCAAGGAGCAAGTCGCGAGAAGCACTTACTCTAAACGCCTATTTTTGCTTGATGTGTATGCATCTTCGTGCGAATTTATCCCTGGGTTAGCAACTGACTCACCGCGAACCCCAACACTATATATACTTTATCAAGCTTTTGTAAATTGTATACACAGCATATACTGTCATTATGTATATATAATACTAAAGTCAAATACCTATAGTTTAAGTAAAGATCCTTTCCAATCATCAATATTATTGTCCGCAGGTCACTACTACAAAATAAAATCAATAGTATACATTAGGTACAGTATACTGATTTAAAAAAAAAAAAAAAAAAGAATTCTTTTAAATAATTATTGATTTAAAAGAAATAACTACAGTATCTATCTTAAAAATATACTGTATAATCAATTTGAAATTTTTACAAAACATAAGCTACGTTTGCGGCACAATATATTTTATTAATATATTTTATTCTATTAAAGAAAGACGATGATTTTTTAAAGTACAAGGTTTATCACAACACTGTTTTGATAAATACAGTACGTGTTTTATTCTCTAAAAAGTTTCAACAGCGTACGTATTTCCTTAAAGATTTTTTTCTTGCGATTAGAATGGAAATGTTTGCACATACGTACAGTACATCAAAAGGTTTTATCATGGGATGAAACATGAAATATATTTTGCACACTTTCCTTTTAATTGGCACAATACCTTTTCAGGCCGTATGATAAACCGTATAAGAACTTGAGATTAATTGCTAAACAACGGCATGAAATAAATTAAAGAATTTCTCTGTTGACATATGATTCTACAGCGTATTTTATAATTGACTATTTAAATCAGATTGTCTATCGAATGTACCCCCCCCCCCCTTCTACTAGCAACGAGCTTCTAGTGATTGGTAAAAATACTTTGGCTATATGCTAAATGGGGTTGATTCCTCTTCTTTTTGTTTTTTAGTGTAGGCGGGGTTGGAATATTTAATGTTTAATGCTCTTCTGACTTGATAAGCTCGAATCTTCGTGAACATTGAACTCGGGCACTTTGAGGATGACCAATTTAATTATAATTACAAAACCATAAATGAAATTTTAAATTAAGAGCTTGCCCGGGTTAGTAAGCAATTCCGAGGGTAATTTACAGTGCATTCACTTGATGATTACGCACTTAAGCTCGGTAGGATGCCGCGTGCCATCCGCCAAAACATTCGAGAATGGGAATCTTATAAAGCGGAAGAAACTCCTCAAATAGCGGCAACTAAAATCATTACAATTCTAACCAAAGGTAGGAGGATTTTCAATGAACAAATCTAGATGGCATTCGTACTTCCCAAAGAGTGTGACCACGTTCGAAATTTAAGACATGTGATATTATAAAAAAAGAAACGACTTTTTCCTTGGCAATAATTATGAATTAATAACAAAAAAATTATTCCGTCAATCGATCACATTATGAGATCCGCGTTATTCAAAATGAAAAACACGCCCCACAGGTTTCCATCTCCAATCGACATGGGGTTATTTAAGATGAACTATTATGACCCATTGAGATTTCGGATCTTGAAAGAAAAGATCGTATTGATCTCCACGTTTCATACCATTAGGGTTGATAGAATTGCATTTTTCGCACGCAAAGCGCACAGTGTTGGCGGATCGTGAAAAAATATCATGAGAGCCACACACAACAATTCATCATCACTTCCGTTATTTCCCATCGTCTCACTTTAAAAAATATTTAAAAAGGTATTTTCTTCAAATATTTTGATTGCATCCCCTATGTCATCAATTACCAATAAAACTACCAACGGTCCCAAGTCACCCGTCTCAATACACAGCAGGAAGGCATTTTTTTGCTTCGCTGATGGTGAGACTTCGTTTCAGCGGGGATATCTAGGAGCACAGCAGGCAACAATATCCGGGACACTACACATTCGTTATACCGAGGAGAAGCCTATATTTGCCAAAAAGATCGAGGTCAGTTTCGTTGGTAAAGAATACGTCTTCTTCCGAGGAACCGTGTTAGAAAGTCGAAGAACCGAAGATGACGAAGTTTTGAATGATGAAGATCCAGGTGCCGAAATTTCAGAAGATGGTTCGTTTTCCACTCATACTGCGAAACGAAGAATTTTCGGTGCATCCATTTGCATATGGAAGTCTCAAAGTAAAGGCTCCTACGAAGGGGTGAAAAGCTTAGACCTGCCTTTCACATTCAAGCTTCCAGATAATCTCCCGCCCTCGGTATGCATGGACAAAGGTTGTGGAAGAATTTACTACACGCTAAAAGCAGTCATTTCTCGTCAACCAATAAACCCAGACAGCAACAAGCGTAAGAAAGTGATTAAACTGGTCGTTCCCATCGTTCGCCACACCATCACACCACCACCAACTCCTTGTCGCTGGCTCGTGAAGAAAGAGGGGCCGGCCATAACTCATGCTGTGTGCTATGACGTTTCATTGGATCGTGTAACTTTCCGCCCCGGAGATACCGTAACAGTTCCGATAAAATTGCACCTTCGCGAATCTTATGCCTACCTTAAGGAAATATTTGTTGGGATCAAGGAGTATCACGAGTTGCGTACAAATGAGTATGAAACGACGACGAAGAAATACATAGTAGACAAGACCATTAGTGCCGAATCCATTCCGATAGCGGATGGTCCGGATAATGAAATGTCGGTGAACGTCAAATTTGAAATTCCTCACCAAAGGAATTTAGTCTACAACGTGGATACAACATATCTGACGGTGACACACAAGTTTAAGGTAAAACTTAGACTCGGTCAAGTTCCTGACATACATCTGAGAAAGGCCATAAATGTTGAGAACATTGTATCCAGCGAAGAAGTGCCCATACTATTACCTCCAAGAGTCAAAACTATCGAGAGTATCAAACCATTGGTCTCATTACCTCGCCTACCGGACAAAAAGGACAAACGGGTCTCACCTTTTCTTCCATTCTTCAGCAAAATCCATACCCTCGATCCCGTTACACGAAAGCGTATTTCTATTCAACTTCTTCAAATTGTTGATTCCAAGAATCCCAATTTAGTTTATAACTCACGATCGCTCGCGGTTTCCCGTTGATGATATTGTCAGCTTTATCTCATCTCTTTTCTTTTCCCTTCTTAAAATTATAGCTTTATAATTCTATTATTGTGTTGTCTACGTCCCGTTCTGTAATAGTATGTAATAGTATATATTTTTTTCTTTTTAATTTCGGTTTGCGCTAATGTTGTCACATGACCTTCACATGATCTATAATTTATGTTACCGAATAAATTATACAAAGTTTTTCAATGCCAGAATTCATGCTGTCATTTGTCGGATTTCAAAAATGCTTAATATTTCATCGGCCGATTGGATTTGAAACTGACGAGGTTTAGCATTGATACAACGTTTGTATCATGCATTTTCATGTGCTAGTAAGATCGACTCGACGATCCATGAAGGACATGGGACCCTTCTGTTGAGGAACAAACAGCGCAATCCTTTATTTATAACATATAAATGCGGGATTAGGAAACAAGATAGATAGTAGATTTCGAAATTCTGAATTCAGGATTGACTTTTCATTTTCATACTTTGTCATTACGTACGATGGATTGAACTGATGACCATTTTAATTATCATCTTTTGGTATCGCATTGAGGGTCGGAGTTATCCGAAGTCTCATTCTTTAACTCGCGGTCTCCTTAGAAGTTACACGGGGCAAAATATAATATTATTGAATTTATTATCGTGGTACCTTTGTGCAATGCTATTATTCGACTGCGTAATTTCCGTCGGACAAATCAATCAATCAGCACTCACCCTATACCTCCTGAATGAATCTTAGCGTCAAGTTATGTGGCATCAAAATGCAATTATCCTTATACCGGTTGGTCACAAAACGGTATCGCAGGCTGTACAAACTTGAATTATAGGCCATCCTTTTTTTTTTTTTGAATCGCACACCTGATATCAAAGATAAAGATAATCTCCTGTGGGTTTACAAATCTCCTTCCACCTCTAAAGGGCCTTTCAAATGTGCGCAGACGATCCCTTTAGCTCAGTGACTCCTATCTCCATTCACCTATTTTACAACTGTTATATTTTCGGCACAATGCCGGGATCCAATATACCACACTTGATGATATGGAGAAGACATTGATCGGTAAGAATGGAAGAGAAGTTGATGTATTCAGCCCGGCTTGTGTGAAATGTACGGCAATATGGATGTGCATTGAAATTTTTATTAATTTTAGAGGTTGAATATTTGCGAACATACCGAATATACAATTGTTAATTGTCGATTTACAGTATTTATTAATAAATAACGAAATAAGATACAGTATAATGGAATCTTGAATCTGGAATCTTTTTAATTACCAGGTGCAATAATGATCGAGAACAAGATTGTCTTGAAGTATTGCAGCAACGTAAAGCGAAAAAAGAATAATATCGCCAATTGATTGGTGTAAAGGTCCTAGTAGATGGACAGTTGTGTGGTATTCATTCTTTGCAATTGATCAGTGTAAGGGTTCTAGTTGATGGTTAGTCGTATAATATTCATTTTTTACAATCTCGCTCCTGTTTCTGTAAATTTTCCATGAAAACAGGGTGGACACCAGATAAGTCAAGAACACCATCCATCCAATATACATGCTACTAAAGTAGGACTTGCACAGCGATTGGAGGTTTTCGGAGGGATCGATTATGGCCTCACACCTTGCCGGGATAGTGTTTGTAAGGGCTGAAAATATCAATCTCGAAGTTAGCGGAGTTACGAGATGCCGGATGCGCGTCGAAAACAAAAAAGAAACATACAGACGGTGAACCATAAGAGTGTCAAGAGGCTATATTGCAGGTGAAATTCAAAGTAGTTAATTTTCCAGATCCCCCCTCGATCAAATGCACACTTAGAATCTAACTCACATATCCATTCCTAAAAGAAACATCTTTAGCTCGACCTTTTTCCAAATTTTGTTGAATAGACCAACGTAAACACCTGAATTTAGAAGTGGACCGTGATTGATTAAAAAAGTTCCTCACTCCAAAAGCAAAGCGATGTAATTGATGTAATTTTTCGTGCAATCAAATGGGGAACTTGCTTGTAAACAAGAGTGTGAAGGCGATAACGAAAATATAGTAGGACTTTACGCCAAATATTTCATATCTGTGGATTGGCGGGAGAAAAAGGCTTCTGTTAACTGCAAATCAATAATCCTCAAATGTTTCCTGGTATTGACTTACGTTTCGGAATCGAAGTAGCCTGGAGCTTCAAGGTTTAGCCGTTCGGCCTTCTTGGAAAATGAATGGTACCTATCCATTTCCACGAATTCTATATGCATATATGCAATAAAATGACGTTTCATGTAAGAGAAACAGTTAGTTATCCGAATGAACCGGTGGTGCCATAACATACCTAGGATTATTATAATAGTGAGAAGAATCAACTGCACGATTCTATATCTCTTTTGAACATCCGGGTTCAAAGTCAACTCTTCCAACTTGTTTTTATATTTCATTATGTCTTCGTTTTCCTCTTGCAATTGGTTTTGCGATTAACAATCGAGAAAAGAATGAATCCTTGCCGTCTAGGCAAGTATTTTGAGGTCAAAGTCGTCCGTTGATTTAGAAAAGGTAACTATCGATTTCTCAAATTCTGATGTTTTTCTCGAGCTATCACCGGAAGCTGATGAATATCTATACGTAAATCGGGCCATTTGGAAAGATGATCAAAGAAATGGTGTATGAATGTGCAATTTTTCAAAAAGGAGTCAAATTTAGTAAGGATTGTGAATCTTACATGCACCGCGCATTACTTCAACAGCCAGCAAGTAATAATAAAAACCACAGTATATGGGCACACCTGATAGAATAAATCCATATGGTTTATAGAGTGCAGATAATCATGTTGGTTTGTTCTACAATTTTATATCCGAAAAAAAATTTTTTTTTTTTGATGCGTTCGATTTTTTAATTCAATTATTAATATACATTTCGTTTCATTACATACGAAAGTATGGTCTACCTACCTACCTACCTATCTATCTATCACCACCATTCCCCTCTTCCCCAATATCATTACAACCATTTATTTTCGAGATGAGTTAAAATTTGGATGAAGGATCGGCGCATGATGCGAACACGAGTATTGAGTGAGTCCATACTCACTTTAATATTTTTCGTGAATCGGTATGGCCTGTTGACCTGGTTTGCAATTCGCGAAGCTCGATTATCTCATTCTCATCATTCTCATCATACAGGCGTTTCACGTGCCCAGAGGCATATTCAATTCGAATTTCCACATTCTCCCTCTCAATTTTCTTTGCATTTTCGTCCACATATCTCATCTCTACTTTCTTTTCACTCAAAACGATCCAAGAGAAGTATAGAGAAATTGAATATAGCATGACATTTATCCATCCTATTGTTAGGCCAAATAAATATGACCAACACCATATCCAATAGTAGTGTTGAGGCGCTTTTTCGTTATAATCGGCTGTGCCACATATTAGACCGCCTTCGTACAACGGGTAACAGTTGGCAAGACCTTGTTGAAAAATGTAGTTAGAAATCGTATGTGCGAGAAACGGGTGGAATAAGCAATTACCATTTCTTACCAGACGACAACCATGTCAGAAATAAAAAACTACAGAAACCATCGTACATGTTGTTATGTCACGTGATCAAATAAGGATCATGTGATGAAAATAAGAAATTTATGCATACGTTTCTATCCACATGTAAGGACCATTTTCCCACATTTTTTTAAAATTGACGAGATAATTTCCTAAATTGAAAAAAGTAAGATCAGTTGAATCGGCCGGAAGAAGACGATCCGGAAGCCACTGTGAACGCAAACCAACCTAATATCACAAACGTGAGACCTATAACAGTATAAATCCATATTTTCACTTGACCATTATATCTATAATAGATTTTTTCGATATCAATCTCGACAAGTTGTATGTGTGATTTGATAATAATAATAATAATTTCATTCTTCAACTTACGCGCCTTCATGCGTAAAATATATTGACAGAGGGACATCACCTTGAATCAAGACTTCCAACATGTCAATAAACCCCACAATTTGTATGATTTCTATATTTACGTTCAAAGAAATTAGTCACGATTGTTAGCGCGAGTTTCGGTATATTAAGTAATATAGAAGATAAATACCTAAAGAAAAGCACACAAGATTAAGCACTAGCTGACCCACCCTTAGCTTCACCCAGTGTCTTGATTTTCTGTATGACTTCATATTTGTAATTAAATTAAAAGTTCAGATCAGTCTATAAGACCTCTAGAACGAAAAAAAAAGAAAACAAAAAGTTGTCTAATTTCGTTATGGTAAGTCTCCTCCAATGTGTGTTGTGATTTTATAGTATAACTGCTGTGCTCAATATAGAAATTACATGATGTATAGATCGACTTTGATTGCATCTGTGCATATCTATAATTTTTTGAAATATTATGTAGGTACGTGCCGTACCTACATAATGTTAATCCGCATGATAGCTACCAATCATATTCCTTACAGAATGTTTATCTATTCATCATTAAGTCACTAATTGGAATTTTAAAATGCGTGTCACATCACCACAAATTTACCTAAGCGACGGGAATTCTACATTCGGTCGACTTTATGGTCATGTTTCACATGTCGGGTTTGTTAACATCGCGTATTATAAGGTGTAACACACACACCGGATGGACAAACGTTTGCGTCCGAAATGGTCAACAAATAATACAGTATATAGCATTGGTGCGAATTACGATTAACTCTCGATAAAAGCAAATATTCTATATTAGTCGATATGGTTACTATCGGAGAAAAAGAAAACTTTGATACACGGGAAGATTTCGAGAAATACTTAATCTTTTTTTTAAACGTAAATCGTTGTTACCTATTTAACTTTTTATTTCATTCACGATATTACCTCTTGTGCGTTAAGTAAAGCATTCTTCCCGCAATAAAATCTGTACACGGTAAAAGTTTCGTTCAATTTGAACAAAAGCAGTACGTATGAAAATTTAACATTCATTTCAATATGTTTATACAATTTAATAAATTTTGCCTTGTATATTTTGAAATACATGTGCACTCAATTTAATTAATTTTCATTTAATAAAATAGAATTGCTTAATTATAATTTCGCATAAAATTTTTTATTTTATTTTATAAATCAACTTTAACGAATATAGCAAATACATTTCATAGAATGAATTCCATGTGCAACAAAGTTTTGCTAAATTTAAATAAGACTTTGCATTATAATTCACAAATTTTTAAATGAAATAGCAAAAAAAAAAAATTATTTTTTTTACATAATAAATCAGGTTTAAATTAATATTTTATAAACACAATGATCTAATATATACTTTTATTATTTTATTATTTATTTATTTATTTTAATTCATAATAATATTATAATGACACGCCCTTTTTGAGAGATTAGATGAATATCTACAATATTAACTTAATCATTCATATGATAGCTAACTTGTTATCATAAGTTATAAATTAAAGAATTACATTAGTGTAAAAATACAAAAAGTTCACCAAACTAGTTCAAATTAAAACAAAATATTAACTAGATATCCTAAATCAGATTTAGGTAACAATATTTTGCTTTTTTAATAAATTGATACTAAGGACTTTCATCTATTAAAATTATTGTCAATAAATTATTGCTATGGATTATTTCTAAAGATAACAAATTACTAAATTAACATATTAAAAAAAAAACAAAATAAAACAATTCAAACCTTTTTCAAAAAGTTCTTATTTAGATAGTTCTATTCAAAAAGAATTTATCTACTATTAAGTAAGATATTTTTCTTATTTCAAATTATTTAAGAAGCTTATTTATTTTTATATAAGCTTTTTAAATTTTGAAAAATTTATTTTTTTATTGATATATAAATTTATTCTTTTATTGATATATAAATTTATTCTTTTATTGATATATAAATTTATTCTTTTATTGATATATAAATTTATTATTATATTTTCAAAGCTAATAATATTTCATAAATAAATTTGGTTAACCAAAAAAAAATTTTTTTATTACTTGAAAAATATAATAAAAAAATAAAAAATTAATATAATATATAATCATATACTTTTATTTTACTATATAATTATTTTTTTAAGAACTTGTTTAATTAAAAAAAATATTTTTATAAACTTTTTTATTATTATTAATAATATTATTTAGCTTATAATTATAACTAATAAAAACTTAAATATATTTTAAAAGATTTAATATTTTTGAAATATTTTTTAAATAAAATATTTTTAATAAAATACAATTTTTTCCAAATTATTTAAAAAAAAAAAACTTATTTTTTATTTTATTTTTATTTTTTAATATTATTTAAAAAAATTTATTGTTTACTTAAAGTCTTTTTTTTTTTAGAAATATGTTTAGTTTTAACTTGTTTCATATAATAATTTGTATTTATTTAATAATAAAATAATATTTTATAATAAATTTTAAGGTTTTATATAATCTAATAGAAATTAAATTATAATCTAATAGAAATTAAATAATATTATATCAATATATAATATTTATTTAAATAAAAAAATTTATTAATAAATATTTTTTGTTATCCAAAAATTTAATATTTTCAATATTTTTTTATTTTATAATAATATAAAAATTTTAACTCAAAAAATAATAATAATAGCATATACAATTTTTTAAAAAATATATTTTAACTATATCTAAATAATTATAATTTAACTTAATATAAACTAAAAATTTTTAATTCTATTATTTAATTATAATAGAAAAAAAATCTTAAATTTAAACATTATTTAATTAAAATAATAATAATAATAATTCTCACTTAAATAAATTAAAGCTTTTTTATTATTTATAGGCTTAATTTATTTAATTCTATTAGTTTTATAGAAAGCAGTTCAGTAAATGAATCTATTTAAATAAAATAAAAATAAGAAATCAATAACTTTTTTAATTATTAAGAATATTATTAAAATATATATTATAATTAATAGAAATTTATTTATATTCTACTATTATTTATATAGTATATACAGTATTTTTTACTAATCTGTATTATGTTATAATAATATACTTTTATTAAAAAATTAAAAAAATATCTATAATAATTTTTAAACTTTTATAAAATGACCAATTTAGAATTATATATAAGTATTTCAAATCAAATTTTAAGAACAACATTATATTTTCCTAATATAATTAAATTAATTATTAACTATTAAAATTATTGTTAACAATTTATTAATATTAATTGATTCAAAAATTAATAAATTGTCAAGTTAAAAAATAAAAATAAAAAATCAAATAAAAAAAAAGAAACAATTTAAGATCTGATTAAAAAAATCCAAAAAAAAACTATTCTTTTCTCAAAGAGATTTGTTTGATTGGAATAATTTTTTTGCTTAATAAATATCTATAATATTATATTAACTTTTTATATAATAATTAATTTATCATTATATATAGTTAATTGAAAAACAATACTATTTAAAAAATATAGGTTTATTAAATTAGTTTAAATTAAACAAAATAAAGATAAATTATATATTTTAAATTAGATTTAAGAGACAATATTTCATTTCCTTATACAATAGGGGACAAAAAAATTGTCTTTGTTTCCAATATATTTAATTTAATAAAGAATTATTTAAATTAAATCAAACTTAAAATATAAATACTTAAATATATAAAAATTAATTTTACATAAGATTATTTTATAACTTTTATAATTATTATTATTTTATATTTTTATTTTAATTAAAAATTTTTATATTATACACAAATTTTACAAGCTAATATATATAAAT